AAAAAAAAAAAAAGAAATAGCTGGCAGCATAGGGGACAGAGGAATGTACTGGGAGGGAGGAGGAGGGGGCGAGGGACTTAAAAAAAAACAACAGTTCTCACTTCAGAAATGTCAGAGCTAATATAGGTAATGCAAGAGCCAGCCAGGGAGAGCAAGGTAGGCAAAGTGCATGCAAAACATTTACCAAGTTGTAATGACACAGTGCATCCCATATCCTGACTCGAGTAGCTTCTCTCATGAGCAAAGCTGATATCACTCCATCAATTCCAACATACCATCTTCAGTTTGCTCAGGTATAGGGGTTTCAGAGGGTGACTGAGCAATACTGGCATTTGATGAGTCATTCATTTTTTGCATTTATGCATTCAACATTTTACTGAGCACTATAAAACCAACTACCTTGGGAGGCCCTGGTACAATCCAGGAGGGAAAAGAAACAGATAATAGCAGCACAGTGTGATAAGGGGCCACACTGGATTTCTGTTTGTGGTATTAGGATAAGGTACAAAGAAAAGTTGCCAGGAGAGTTGACCATTAGGCTGGATCTTGAAGAACGAGTGGCTGGGGTATATTGGTGATGCCTCTCCTGCTACCTTGGTGTGTTTCTTTCCCTTCCTCAAAAACACTCCAAAAACTTTTTTGGCATCACCATAAAGGTGAGACTTCACTCTATTTTTGAAACATTTCACTTCACCAAAATGAAATAAAGATTCCAATAAAATGCTCCATATCTCTGAAATTAAGAAACCATCTTGAACATTTTTAATTGTTCAAAACATTTTTTAATCACAAAAGTAAACATACTTCCCATAGATCATTTGGAATATGCAGAAAAAAACAAAATTTAGCAGGAATCCAGCTATTAGAGAAAACAAGTCATATTTTGGTATTTTCTATGAATAGATTTTTGGTTTGTTTTATATAAAACTGGGATCACATATTGTACACATAATTTTATAACCTGGTTTTTTCACTTAACATTCTATTCTAAGCAATTCCCACACCCTTAAATACTCTTTGAGAATAGTATTTTTAATTGCTGAAAAACATTCCATCATATGCATAGGCCACAGTTATTTCAACTATTTCCCCACTGTTGGAAATTTAGGTCATGGCCATTCTTTTGCTCTCCATGCTGCGATGAATATCTGAGTACATAAATCTGTTTGTGCATCTGTAATTATTTTGCTGCAATAAATATCTAAAAAAAAATAACTGGAACAAAGGCCATATATATTTTTAGGATTCTTGCTACATATTACTGAATTTTTCCACAAATACAAATATAGTTCCTACTACACCGTGGGTATTTAATAAATATTTACCAATCAGTGAATGAATAAATGATTTTCAGGATTCTGCACAATATTCTTGCCAAAGTTGCCATACTTGAACCATAGAAAACTAAATAACCTTTGAGGAAGTAAAAAACACTTGGATTGAATGAACTAGGAAACTGATAAATTTTTAAACACCTCTGAGAACATATACCAAAAGTTATATCTAAAGTTGAGTTATCCAGCCTGAGCAAGAGCGAGACCTCATCGCTATAAAAAATAGAAAAATTAGCTGGGCATGGTAGTGCACACTTGTAGTCCCAGCTACTCAGGATACTGAGGCAGGAGGATCACTTGAGCCCAGGAGACTGAGGTTGCAGTGAGCTATGAGGATACCACTGCACTCTAGCCTGGGTAACAGATCAAGATCCTATCTCAAAACAAATAAATAAATAATTTTAAAAAAAAAAGTTGGGCTACAAATTTATCTGATGGAAAACTGTACAGCTAAAATAATGTTGCAGAAGAATAATTACTGTCATAGGAAAATGTACACTATGTGATGCTAAGTCAAAATAAACATCCATTTAAGCCATAAGTATAGTATGATCCTATTTTTATGGAATACATTTATGTATATATATAAGACATATAATATATAATATTAAAAGACAAACACTAAAATATTAACAAGGATTCTCTGTGTGTTGGGTTATGGGTGATGGCTCCTTTGTGGGGTATTGTGGGTGTGGGTGTGTTCCAAATCTTGTGCATCAAGCATGCACTATAATACTTTTCGTAATTAAGAAAAACCAAACTGTTTTAAAATGTTGAGTTACCACAAAACTAAAGGAAATACTTTCCATAGCTAGAAATCCAACATAAAGACAGTAAACAAAATGATAAAACAGGCAGTTCTTCCTCCGAGAGTGTATTATTCTGCTGGGGCCACCATAACAAAATACCATAGACTGGGTGGATGAGACAACAGAAATTCATTTTCTAATAGTTCTGGAGGCTGGACATTTGAGATCCGGGTGCCAATACGGTTGGGTTTTGGTGGCTCTCTTCCTGTCTTGCGGATGGCCACCTGCTTCTTATGTTCTTCCATGGCCTTTTCTCAGTATGTGCACACAGAGAATGAGAGCGTGTGTGAGCACTCTGGTATCTTTTCTTTTTTCTTTTTTTTTTTTTTTTGAGACAGAGTTTCACTCTGTTGCCCAGGCTAAAGTGCCGTGGCATCAGCCTAGCTCACAGCAACCTCAAACTCCTGGGTTCAAGCAATCCTCCTGCCTCAGCCTCCTGAGTAGCTGGGAGGGACTACAGGCATGCACCACCATGCCCGGCTAAATTTTTCTCTATATATTTTTAGTTGGCCAATTAATTTCTTTCTATTTTTAGTAGAGACGGAGTCTCACTCTTGCTCAGGCTGGTTTCAAACTCCTGACCTTGAGCAATCCACCTGCCTCTCGGCCTCCCACAAAGTACTAGGATTACAGGCGTGAGCCACTGCGCCCGGCCTAGTATCTTTTCTTTTAAGAGTACTAAATCTCATCATGAGAACCCCACCCTCATGACCTTATCTAACCCTAATTACCTCCGAAAGGCCTCACCACCAAATCCCTGCACATCGAGGGTTAGGGCATCAACATATGAATTCTTTATGGGTGGATACAAACTTTCAGTCCATAAGAGAGGTGATCCATCAGAGATCTATACTGAGAGGGTGTCAAGTTAACATTTAGAAGAGTTGCCTTAATAGATGATATAATACAGAGAATATAACCATGAACAGGATAGAGTCCCGGTCAACAAAGAGGCCCATTCTTGGGAGAGGAGACAGATAATTATTATAAATCAGTACAGTAGTATTCTGACAAAAATATATGCTGGGATATATTTGAGTAGAGAGGGCAAACAGAGGAAGGGCTCTTAGTTTGAGAGAAGTGAAACTTAAGATGAATTTTGAAAAAATAAAGTGGGAACTAAAGCTTGCAGAAGGTTGTGCCAGGCAGAGGCAACAGCCTGTACCAAGGCATGGGGAGGGGGTGTGGGGGAGCTGGAAAACATGGCTCAACGCACATGAAGGGATGGGGCAGAAGATACAGTTTTAAGAAGGACTAATGCCTTTAACCCAGTTCCTGAATTGCTGGGAGACCTCATCAGAGATTCAGTAAGCTGCACTGGACTGAACTAGTATGCTCTGAGTTTGGAATTTTATCTTGGGAACCATGCTAATCACTATATTTTAAGCAAAGAGGAATAAGAAATGACTCATGATTGAGAAATACCCATTCTGGTAACAAAATGGAAGGGAATGAACTAGATATCAATTTGGAGAATGGAGACAGAAAGCTAGTACAGAGGTTCTCCTAATAATTCAGAAGAAAAATGATGCGATCTTAAACATAGGCACAGGTATTCATTAAGAAAATAAATTAGGTGTGTATTGCCAACAAGCCAATTTGGTTATAGAAATCTGTATAATGAAGGCACAAACTGCATGTGGTTGACCAAGCAGGCTGAGTGAAGTAGAACACCCGAGTTAAGAAAGAGCTCTGGATACGTTAGAAACAAGACTACTTAAGCAACGTGGCAACCAACTAGGATTATTCAAAGCATATATATTGAATCATCTTTGTGTAAATTGAGCACAGTTATAATAATTTAATGTTCTAAGACAGAATTTTGCATATTAACAATCCAAATCAGGGATTTTCAGTATATTTTCTAAGGCCATTGCCTAAAGAGAGAGGCGGCATGAGGAGCATCAGTGGGTAAGACCCCTGCCTCTGCCTCGCTTCAGCCAGGTCTCTGCCACTTTAGGAGATAAAGCATCTGTGAAGCCACTGATGTAAACACATGTGCACACACAAGTGTGTGTGCATGCACATGGAGGGAGGGGTGTGTGTATACACCAGGGGTATATATAACCAAAATTTTCATATGACCTAAAGCTAACTACATATACACCACATTGGCACATGTATGTATGTTTTTGTCCTTGTTCACAGCAAACAAAAACATTTCACTGGGAGGTTTAATAATCTCATATTCACACTTCTAATCCATATGTGAATTCACGTGGAAACTTATTGAGCGTACCAAATTAATGAGTTTTAGATTCTTCCTCTAAATAATAAGTTCCTTGAAGACAGAGATTCCCTCCCTCCCATTGCCTATTATAAACTTCACAGATAGGGTGTTCGATAAACATTTGCTGGTTAAAAAGAAAAATGATAATATTTTTAAATGATAACATCAAAGAAATTCCTTTGTAGACAAGTGATTTGTTTGAAGAGAAACATGTCCAGGGTTAAATCTGTCATCTATAAACATATAGAAAGAAAGCTAATTATTACCCTTAATGATCTAACTATGAGAGTGTAACAATGGTAATGAAGTTAATATACCATAACCCCCACTTACAACACAACCATCTTAGGCTGTGTTAAGGACAGAATATCACAGTGGTATGATATGTACGTTTATGTGTACGCATATGTACGATATGTGTTTATGTATGTTAAAGACTCATACCAGCTCATTACCTTCCAAATAGTTTTGACTGAAAAATTGGTATCTTCTCATGGCTATATTTTCTCTTTATGTTAAAACATGCATATGCACACGTACACAAATGCAAAAACACGCACACAACATATTCTCTAAGTCAAAGAGACAGGGTCAGGCAAATCATACTATCTCTGCAATACTTTTGTATATAATGATAAATGCAAATCAGACAAGGGGCCTATTCTTTGTATGTTCTATAAGAATTTTCTTTTTTAAAAAAGGAAGCATCCCAATTTTGCTGACTGCCTCAGACATTGGAACTCATTTCCCACTTTATGTTTTATAAAAACTAAAATGTAAAGAGAAAACTTCAAGACAAAGCAGCACCTGCACTGATTCCATGGGTTCAATGAAAAGGTCAGATGGAGCATGCACTTGTTTAGGTGCTTGAGAATTATACAGGAAAGGCAGACAAAACTCATACAGGAAATAAAAAGGTGTGCTGGTGTTAGCTGTTTATTTCAGGCATCTGTTGCTGTTGTGAGGGAAAAAAGTCATAAACCAAACAGAAACTTGGTGATTGTTTCTCCTAGCATAATTAAATTCATAACTATAAATTCTGCACATTAGTATTTTATGAAGCCTTCCAAAAGCAAGTGAAAGAAAAACTTGGCTTGGCTGCCCATGGATAATTTTGTTTTGCTACCAGTTTGAATAAAACAAGAGCCTTTTGGCAGATTTATAATGCAGTCATGCAACTCAGGCATGGAATGGACTGAAGGTGAGAGGAAGGGTGGTGCATAGGCCATGTGCATTGAGCGTTGCACTGACAGGACAGATGACAAGAGAACCCAGCAGAAATGGAAAGGGAGTGGACAAGAAGGCAGTAATATCTGAGCGCAAGGGTGCCCTGGGTATTGTGAAGGAGAATTTCTTGATGGGTAGAAATCCAATCAGTAACATTCAGCTTTTCATAATGTTTTTATAAATTTAAAATGCTATTCCTTGAAAAGTGCCCGTCACAGTAAATCTGGGACCACCACTATATTTAAGCTAAGACAGCACAGCAAGAGCAGCAGAGTGTGCACAGTGACAGTCCGCTATGACAGATCCATAAAAAGGTATGTCCCAAGAGCCGACCCTACCTGCCCACTGTACAGCTTCAATTGTGTTATTGAAATTGCCGAGCTACTTCATGCACACCATTGTCACCATACTGAGTTTTCAGACCCAACACTCATAAGTTTCCTCTTATTCTTTTTCCTATAGAATTATCTCTCAATCCTCTTTCCCAAGTCCTCTTTTGAGGCTAGGTTTCCATTCTACAATCAAGTATCATCTTCCTCCCAACTATGAGAAATGGTGAGGAGATATCCAGCTTTTCTCAATATGAATAGTGTGAGAAAAGGACTAAATTCAGGAAAAATGAGACCAAGAGCAAAGAAGTAAGCTGTCACTGAAAGAGGGTAAAAATCCACCTTTATCCCTTTAGACAACTTCAGATGCAAACCCAGAAAAGGGCAGCCATGTTCCCATGAGTGTTTAAACAGGCTGGAATACTGCAAAATAAAATCAAGCTAATTATCATTGATGAGCACACATGCTATTTACCTTTGGTGAGCCTTGTTCTGAACTTGAACAATGGATTTCCAATATTTACCATCGGGTTGATTCATAATCCAGAGAGATTCTGGGCCAAAAGTGCAGTGTCCACTGCAGTCCTGACTTCCTTTTCAAATCAATGTGAAAGGCTATAGAAGGTAAGCATATAATTCTATGTTCATTTTTACATCTCAGAATGCTATTTGTGAGAAGAGATTGGCGAGACTAGGAGGGCAGATTGTAGATTCTAGTAATAAATGCATCTCTTCTCCATAAGGCCTTCTGGGGGAGGCATCACTGTCCTTCTACATTGCATTACTTATATTATGTTCCCAACTAGAGTTTCAGACACTACCACAGCCACAGTGCACAGAGTGATTAAACCAGGAAGCTAAGATAATTGTATACCTTTGTTGCACAGATAACAATGAAAGGAGTAGGATGTCTAAGACTGTACCCACCATTATTGGCTTTATTTATCAGGAACTACAAGATTTTTTTCCTGACTCTACAGTAAGTCTAACACCGACAACTACAGTGAACAGCACAGGTCCAAGAACAGAGAGTGATTCTGTCTGAGAGCAAAGAGGAGAGTCGGGTGCATGATCCAAGGAAAATTCCCAGAAGGCATGATGCCAAGCCAAAGCAGGAGGGAGCATGTGGTGGAGTGGGCTTGAATGAGCAGCTGGTCTCTCATTACTCTCCCCTCAGAACATTTTTTTATTGCCACTACCCTTAAGCCACATCAAGAGCCTTGCCATGATTCTCTCACCTTCACATATTTCTATTCTTGAGAGTATGCACAAAGCCAGAAACTTGAAAGGACTCCATTTCTTCATAAATCACCACCTAGACAAAACAGAGTCCATTCACCAGTTACTTTTCTCTTCTCAGAGGAGTCTGTTTATACGGCTTTATCAAGTGTGTTATAAGGAAAAAGACTTAAGGAAGTTGGCAGACCTCAGTGAACTATCTCATGGTTGTATTGAACAGCTAGCACAGGCAGGTGGCATATCACCAAGAAAAATGCCAAAGGAAAAGAACAAAAGCCCTTTGTGAAAGTCTTGCTCCTAAATATACAAACATTGAACCCCAGAGAATGAATAAATCTTCAAGGTTGAAGTTTGATTTAATAAATTTATTCTAGAATCACCAAATACAATAAATGATTGAAAGAAAGGAAGAAAGTTTCTACAAGGATGTACTGGACACAAGCAACTCTTTCATTGCACATAATCCAAGTGAAATTTCATTATGATGGAGCTATGTAAGTGCCTATAAAAGTGAACTATTGTTCACCTTTATAATGTCTTATCTAAGAATAACAGCAATTCAAACAATCAAGAAATTATCCACTGTGGTTTCTTAAGAAAGGTACAGCCCTGTATTTCTAAACTGTTCATTTATTTAATGAATGACTTTGGACTTGCAGGGAAATATTCACCTGATTATGTGATACAATTGTAGGGTGTGAATCTACCAGCAATGATTAAATCTTAAACACAAATGTGGAACTGCTCTAAGAGAATGCAAACATTCATTTGTGATTAAATTAGCATGGGATTAGAAACCAAAAATACTGTATAAGAATTATTGCTTTGACTGAAATTTTTCTGAGAAAATCATCATATGTATCTTAGAAATCATAGAATCTCTGAGGTGGAAGAGACCTTAGATAATATTAAAGGCAATCTTCTTTGGTAGGGTGACAAATTCATCCAAGTTTGCTGGGGTTTTTCCAGTTTTTGCACCGAAAGTGCCAAGTCTTAGAAATCCCTGAATCATGGGCAAACTGGGATAGTTGGTCCCTTTACTCTTTGGCTTCATAAATTCCCTCTATGACATAATGTACAAGACCTAACTTGGACTTCACAGGGTTCTATTCCCCACCATGAGACAAAAGCAGCATCTCTATAAACTATCTTTGTTCTGCCTTTTGCATCAAATCAAAGTTTATTCCATCTTCTACCTGGTAGCTCTGTGAGTACGTGAAGACTATCCTTCCCATCCCAGATTCCCCCAATTCAGTCTTTCTATTCTGTAGGTTAAATTGGCCCAGCTCCTTCATCTGCTCCTTGAGTGTTCTTATTCCACTGATAAGCCCATTACTTTCCTCTAGGCAGGCTCATCGTTCTAGGTCTCTCAAACAGTGACATCCCAAACTGAGCTCAAGCTCACTGCCTGAGCAGAGTTCCTGAGCCCCTTCCCTGGCGTTGGTGTCATTTTCCCATGAAGACAACTGACATTCCTTTAGCTCATTTGGCCACCACTATCAAATAACAATATGATTCATGTCAATGTAAAATCATGGAGATTTTTTACAGAGGCTGTTGTTCAAAGCTCTGCCATCCTGTAGTTATTTAATCAGTCTGTAGACCCGAACATCACATGCTGGTCCAAAGTGCAACCCATTACTCCAGCCCATGATTCTGGCTTTGGATCATAATTCTATCACTCAAACTACTCACTCCAGTAATTTGGTTTCAGGTTCATGTAATCTGCAAATGTTTTCTGTGTGTCAACATCTGCAGTAATTCAAATAATTGGCAAAAGTGTTGACTGGGTCCGGTGGAAAACCAGATGATTAGTCAGTGCATAGCTATTTGATGCATTAAGGCAGGTAATTCACATGGGTTCTTTATTTTGAAATATTATTTAGGGCTTTCCTTTCCAGATTTTAGAGAGGAAGCTGAAAACAAGAGAGAGAATACAAATAACACTATAGCAATATTTTCTTCAGCAACTGTCTTCTCCTTACCTTTAGACCACATGTATTCCTTCAGGTGTTTCCAAACTTCAGCGAAACAAGTATTACAGAAATCCCACCATGAGCCTGGAACTGACTGAGTGTGAATCATCAGTGCAGCGCCCCCAGCGTTCCTGACTCCTCTTCTCACTCTGCCATTCCCTTTGAAGTTAGGCATGGCCATGTGACTTGTGTTAGTCAATAACACACATGTGGAATAATATGCATTGCACACTGGCAGAAGCTTTAAAAGCCACCTGGGTGATTTGTTGTGTTTCCTCCCCACTGATGTTTTGATCAGGGAAGGAGGTGTGGAGGTACAGCCTTCATTAGCCTGGGTCCCCAGAGAACACAAAGATCAGAGATCTCCTGCTGAGCCACATCAGAGATGCAGGTTGAGTAGGAAACAAAGCCCTTGAGATTTGGGGGTGTTTTGTTACTGCTATATGACTTGGCCTACCCTGATTGTTACACTAAGGATGCAAAAGTAGAAAAAGACATAGACTCCTGCTTGCAAAAAGCTTATAGTATGACTGAGACAAATCACATCCACACAAGAAATGTAAGGACTCAATCAGCATGTAGTAAGAAGCTAAACTGGAAAGTGGAGAAAATTAGCCAATAAAATATGGTGCTAAAGGTGAGTCACCAGGACAATGCAATAAAAGGGAATTAGCAAAGGGGAATTCAATATGGGCTTTCAGTTCTCAGAACACATTTCATCTCCGTTAAAAAAAGAAAACTTAAAACTATATAATTTATTGAAAAGTGTTATAGGAGATGGTTCTACAAACATGTTGACTGTTCTTTTTTAAAACTGTAATAATAAAGTATTGGCTTAAGTTATGTGGCCATTTTACCTGTATTTGATTTAGTCTTTTCAATAGTTAGCACTAATAAGGCACTTAGTTTTTTTAATGGAATATTATAGGTCTTTGTTCTTCAGAAATGGACAGACTTAGCACTTTATTAAGACAGAGGGGTCACCTTTTTCAGGAGTTTTACAGGAATCTTGGCAATTTTGTTAATGCAGATAAAATGGAGCTGATCCTAGCACCCACTTCCAATATGATTTACTTTATTTCACAGAAAGGTCTGTTATTATAACCATAAAGGTAAATACTAGCCTGAATATTGAATATCAATTTGGCTGATCTAGCAAAATATGGCCTTCTTTCTTTTTCAAATACATTCAGCCTCTCTCTTCTGTTCTTATATGGGAATGGAGGAAGTTTAGTATCAATAGTCATTCACTTGGAATAGTCACTGGAATAGTCACTCACTTACCAACCACCTACTCCCCGACAAGGGCTTTGCTAGATATTGGCTATTTATTAATGAGCAGAACAGTCAAGGGTCTGTCCTCAGGGAGCTTACAGTCTAGAGGGAGGAGAGGCAGAAGTGTGGAAGGTAGGGAGAAGGACTTTCTAAGCAGAGGAAACACTATGTGTTCCCTACCCTGAAGCAGGAAGGAGCTGTGAGTATTCAAGGAAATCAAAGTCCAGCTCAGCTCATGTTGATTAATCAGGGTAAATGAAAAGGAAGGTGGCTTGAGATGATGGTAAGAGTTAGGTAATGGGCAGATCACATGGGCCTTGTAGCCCTTGTTAATTATTTTTGTTTGTTTTCCATTTTACCCCAAATGCCCTCAGAACTCTGAACAGGGGGTACGACATGATACAATTTCCATTTTAAGAAAGACATCTGGCTACCACGTGAAGAATGGATTGGTGGGGGGTAGCGTAGAGATTAAGAAAAACTGTTGTAACAGCCCAGGCAAGAGGTAGCAGTGGCCTAGACTGGGGTGGCAGCAGGAACAAAGGCTTGAAGTGAATAGATTGAAACCCACATGGAAGTAAACTCCTAGTGGGGTGAACACAAGGGGTGGTGTATGTGTCAGGGAGAGCTCCTGGTTTCTGGCATGAGCAACTTCCCTGCCTTGTGCACTGGGCAGGTGAGAGGAAGGGGCCAGACTGAGGAAGCAGAGAAATGTTCCCTGTGAAGACATGTGAGTGAAGCTGCCCAACAGCAACTGGAACCATGGTCTGAAGCTCTGCAGAACAGAGTAGGCAAGAGATGCAAATGTGGGGTCCATCTACTTACCACTGGCATTGGGCCATGGGCACAGGACAAGGAGGAGAATGTGGGTTTGGAGAATGTGAGCAAGAGCAACAAAGGTTCTTGGGAGCCAAGAGGAAGCTGGTCAAAAGTCTAATGAGTTTAAGACCCAATAATTAGTTACTGACATCCCTTGATCTGACCCCAGACCTATATGAGAATATGCCTGCTCCCAGCATCCCCCCAAATCACAGTTCAAAACCATAGCATCACTGTGCCTAGCTCCACATCACAAGTTAACTCATTTTCAACTTTTACTCAAAGTTTCATCTCCCACTCGATTATTTTTCAAAGAAGAATGACATTTTTATCACTTCACAAATTTTGCAATCCTGGGTAGAGGAATGCTTCCCAAATACCAAACTGTGACAAAGTGTTCACCTGTCCATGGCAAAATAAGAAAACTGGAACCCTGGAAGATATATATGTCAACATAAGGTAGCCAACTATCATTACCCGGGAAAGAGGCTCCATTATTCTGAAGTAATGTCAGACTTTTAGTATTAAAATGTCCTCTCTTTTATGAAATAATGGTGATAGGAGATATTTTTTAATGTTCTTACTTGGCAAAATAAAAGATCAATAATCTTATGTAAGACTCTTATTTTTTTTAATTGTACTGGTCTATGAAATCCAAAATCAGGGACGAACAAGAAGAGAGAACAATGAAGCATCACTGAGAAGCTAAGTGCCAACTCTCAGCAAGCTTCACTGTCTAGCTAAACCACCCCCTCCCAGATACATTCTCAGAAGGGCCCAGGATTTACACTGGGGCCTCGGCAGACATTGCTAAATGCCATAGACATTTGGAGTTGTTGCCAGACAGTCGAAACCACAAATGTCAGGGTGCACTTTATTGGCAAAACTGAGTCATTGTGCACAAGGCAAGGGAATTCCTGAAGTCTAAGAATTGTAAACAGGGCCCCATGTAGCTGTTTTCTCTCTTGCACTCCTCACCGCATTTAGATCCTGATTCAAACAAATCAACTGCAAAAAGATTGTGCTGCCAATTGGAGACATTTGAATATGGTCTGGGTAATACTTGCTATTAATCAATTATTGTTAATTTCTTTAGCTGTATTAGTGGCATTGTATTAAGAAAATATTATTTTCTAAATATGTGTACTAAAGTATTTGATGTTAAATTTATGATATTTAGGATTGCTTTAAAACACTTAGCAAAAATAAAATAGATAAACCAAATACAGCAAGCTGTTGAGCATTGTTAAATCTTGATAATGATGATGAAAGTACATTTTACTGTCTCTCTACTTTTATGTATGTCTAGAATTCCTCACAGTTAGAAGCCGAAAGAGAAGGAGGGAGAGAGGGGGGAACAGGTAGGCAACATCCTTATTATCATTTCATAATAACTTTAAACAGAAGGAAGGAAGGTGGATTAAGAGGTGGGAGCAATTTCCACTAATATTTTTGAACACCTACTTTGGGTTAATCCTGGTGATGTGAATGTACATGAAGGAACACAGTAAATGTCAGGCAGCTGCTACTACCACCACTGCATAGATGAGGAAAAGGAGACTCAGGTTAATCCACATTTCCATATGGAAGCTAGAAAGAGAACAAATTGGGCAATTGGAGCTATTTGGCTGCTAAAGAAATTCATCTCTGAGCAATTAAAAACAAAAACTCTTATGTGAATCCCCCCAAGACTATGCAGACCAGGCAGACTGAGGACGCTGCACCCGGACTGGGGCAGCTGCTTCTTCCAAGCCCTGTTCTTGAATGGACCCAGCAACAGGGGCAGCTCCCAGCCGCCTTGACTCAGGTTTCCCTCATTTTCCTGCCACTGAGATAAAGGAACATGAATGCTGGACCCAGGTATATGAAAAGGAAAGGCAGACCTTCCATTGTCACACTCAGGAAAGGGCCAGATGAAAAAAGCATGAAAGGTCCCGTGGAAAGTGGTTGAGAGCCTCTTTCCTGGGCACAGGGAGCACATGAACCCTCTGCTCTGCAGGGGGGCAGCACTTTCCCATGGCTCTTCCCCGCATGTCTTCCATCCTACACATCCAGGCTTCCCTCTCTTAAACACCACTTTCTTCAGAGTTCGTCCCTGCTCCAAAACAGTCAGTGGCTTCAGGAAGTCCACACTTAAACACAGCAGGGAGGGTCAAAGGGCAGGCTCAGAGCCAGACCACAAAGGGTCAAGTCCCGGCCACTTAAGAGCTGGGCGACCTGGGACTAGCTCTTAACCCTTCTCTGCTTCAACTTCCTCCTTCTCTCTAAAAAATGAAGACAATCATGGGGCTCTTGATGGAAGGAGTTAGTTCAAGCAAAGCACTTAATAACAGTGTTACTCTTCCTGTAACCCACCCTTATTTTGTTTCACCCCAGGCAACCTATTTTATTATTGATCCCAAAACGCAGGTAGAGGCCCACATCCCTTTAATTCTTGCCTTTGCCTGAAGAGCTTCAGCATGTTCTCTCTCCACTGTCTCTACAAATCCTCCCCATCTGTCAAGGCCTAGTTGAAGCCCTGACTTCTCCCCAACTCAGACTGTTGAAACCTCCCAAACCTCCTTCTGACTTATGTAGAGTTTTTAGGGTATCTACACTACCTGAACATGTTTTTAGAAATGAGTTAGTGAGTTGTGGTCTAATTAGGAAAAAGCACCCCAAAAGGGTGAAGAGACTATTTAAAAGGGGTGGGCAGGGCTAAGGGAACCCCAAAGGGATGGTGAAGTGCCCAGGGACCAGCACCAGGGGAAGCAGTTATCCCCTAGGTCTGAAGGGACAGGGGAGGCAGCAGTTACTAGAAACCAATAAGAGCTGTAGGGGAGGCCAGCTGAGTTGTAGCCTTAAAACACAGCTACTACTAAACCATGGGGAAAGGAGGTATGCAAATATCCCAACCTCTATCTCTTCCATGCTCCACAATCTCCTGCAGTTGATTCCCATTGCTGGACCCAACTGGAGGCCAGAGCCCAGGGAGAGTGACCTCAGAAAAGGGTGGGGAATGGATCTGGAGGGGTGATCTGATATGAATTACTATGGACAGGTTTGTAATAAGCTAATCATCACTTGGTTGGGAGCTATCTCGTATTTATCCTTGTGGGGCTCTGCAAGAGTCAGTATGATAAAATGGAAGAAGCATGGACTTAAAAATCAGAGACCTGAGTTAGAATCAAAACCCTGTCATCTACCAGCTATATGACCTTAAGAAAGTAACTTAATTTCCCTGAGTCTCTGATTCTCAGATTCCTTTATTGTTGAGATGAGAGTAATCACACTAGCAGATTCCTTAGGTTGTTATGAGAATTAAATTAGAAAAGTTCTTCCTTATTCCCCTCTTCCCAGCTACTTATAATCCCTTTAAGACTGAGGCTCTAGGTCAGACGATGAAAAAAATAGTAGGAATGTGCATGTTTGTTGATGGATGAATAATTTCTGTGAATTCAAAGTTATTCTAGGAAACTTAAGGACTTTGTATGGTCTTTACCTTAAGCTGGCTTGTCTAATGAGAAAAGCAGAAAGATATCTAAGGACTTACAGAACTTTAGAGTCTTGCAAATCTAAGTGTGGTCCAGCAGCATCACCACCACCCAGGAGAGATGCAGAATCCTGGGCTCCATACCCCCACCACCAGAGTCTGCATTTTAACAAGATCTCCAGGTGATATGCACATATGTTAAAGCTCAAAAAGCCATGTGTTAGAACTAAAGGGAACACCAGAGACCATCTAGATTCTGCTTAAGCCACCTCACTTTATAGCTGAGGAAACTGACATCCAAAACTATGTAAATTGTCCGGAGACACTGCGGCAGACACTGCCTACTGACTGATCCTGTAGGCATGTCCAACTCTTCCTCCTTGCTACTTTCCACTGCACAAGGTGAAAAACTATCTTCCCAGTCTCTCTTGCAGCTAGGAGTGGCTATAGGACAGTCATGACCAGAGGCATCTGCTGGGAGGGTTTCTTGAAAATCTTCTGCTTTCTTAGTAAAGTGGGGCAGACATAGAGGCACCAACCTCTATGTCCCTATTTGTCCTGCCTTAAAGGAAACATGCAGTCTGGAGCCAGGATGGGCATCTTGTGGCAATAAAGCTATGAGCACGAGGATAAAATGGCCACACAATAAGGGATGTAGAAGGAAAGACACAGGGAACCTGGTCCTCGATGACATCATTCAACTGAGGCTGAATCAGGCCAGCAACTTCCTACTCTCAGCCTTCTTGTTAAAGAATATTAATAAATAGACACATACATCTCTTTGGGTAAAATACCACTAGTCAAGTTTTCTGTTACTTGAAGCCAAATCTATCCCACATATCATTATACAGCTAGTAAGTGGCTAAGCCAACATTAGATCTCAGGGCCCAAGAGATTTTTCCTATGCCTTCCTCATTCATTAAGAGAAATCTTCCAGACTACATTTTTATAAACAGAGATGGAATCAAGGACAAGTGCTAAGGTGAGAATGCAGCTGGGCATGGAAAGAGAGGTGTTATACAAACTCTATTATAAAGTTGAAAATGATATCTTGAGAGCAGATAATCAGGGTCAGTCTAGAAACTCTGCATGTGTGTGCCTGCCCCACCAGTCAAAAGGTTGAGACACTGAGGAGACATGAGTGCAGACAGAAGACTGATTTTCATTTCATCAGACAATCCCCACTGGCCATTTGTGAACCATGCGGAACTTGATACATAAAATTTAAATAAATATTAGGTATAATTCCAGTTCAGTGATGCTGCCACCAAGTGCCATGTTGATTCATCAATGCCTGCAGATTCTATTATATTAATATGGATTTACTGAGTTATAAAAAATACATGTTTGTCTAACCAAGGGTTGCTGTTCCCATACTTACTTAAAAAAAAAAAGTAGGGCTAGAAATCATTAAGTCAGAGAAATTACAAGAGAAAATGAAAATGATAGCACATACAGAAACTAGAAAAACTGCCCCCTTCCAGAAGGTGTCAGCCCACTGGAGGAAAAGCCACCCCTGGCTAGGCGCAGGGAAGACTGTGAATAGGCGTGGCTGTCAGGACTAGAGACAGGGTGGTCCTGGTGGAACAGGACAGACTCGTCTCCTTCCCCTGCACAGTAAGGCTTTTGGAGAGCTGAGGAGCATCTCATCCGGGCTCCTGCCAAAACCATTCTATCATTTTTCTTTTTTTTTTTTTCAATGTATTCTTTTATTTTTTTATTTTGGCATATTATGGGGGTACAGATTTTAAGGTTTCAATAAATGCCCTTTCCCCCTCTTCTCCCACAAGTCTGAGTTTCCAGCATGACCATCCCCCAGATGGTGCACATCTCACTCATTATGTATGTATATACCCACCCCCCGCCCCCCTGCCCGATACCCTATTACTGTAGTACCTATGTGTCCACTTAGGTGCTGCTCAGTTAATACCAGTTTGCTGGTGAGTATATGTGATGCTTGTTTTTCCATTCTTGGGATACTTCACTTAGTAGTATGGGTTCCAGCTCTAATCAGGAAAATATAAGATGTGCTATATCACCGTTGTTTCTTAGAGCTGAATAGTACTCCATGGTATACATATACCACATTTTATTAATCCATTCTTGGATTGATGGGCACTTGGGCTGTTTCCACAGCCTTGCAATTATGAATTGTGCTATCATTTTTCAAGTGAGGAAGATACGAGTTATCAGACACTGAGCACTCACAATAATTTTTTGCAAAGCTACATTTTACAAGGCAACTTTTAATCCTTGTTGCAGCCTTTTCAAGTTGGCTCTGCCCCCATTTTACAGATGGGGAAATTTGAAAACTTACTCAAGATCATGTAACAAGTAGGAAAAAAAAAATCCTTCTAACCTCATTGTGACACTCTCCCTCATGTTGCCTGGCTTCAGCCACCACAGCCCCAACATGCCCTCATTCCACGACCATTCTTGACACTTATTTCTGGTCTCGGTTTAAAAGTTGCTTATTTAAGAAATCTCTGCCTCATGCCCTACCCCAGGTTGGGTGTCCTTTTATGAGATCCCACAGTCCCATAGCTCTTAGCACTTACATCTGTCATTAACTAATCAATTAATTGATTGATAGGTTAATTAAATGAGTTAGATAATGATTTGTTTACTCTCCGATATTGGCACCGAGGGGAGGCTTGCTGTTATGTTGTGTGGGGGGGAGCATCTTTGACCACTTTACAATCTCTATCAGCTCTTTCTCACTGTCCACCCCAAATAAACAGTTAATGTGAGAGGAGACAAGTCATTTTGCAGTATCACCTTCAAGACAAGTCTCTTTGCCACTCCCCTTCTCTCTTAAAACCAGACTGAAATCCCAATCCCCTCTCGTGTAGAAGCCTTAGAACAATTTTTAACATCTTTCACTCTGACTAGCACGAAGGCTCCATGAAGGCATGGACCACGCCTTGTTCACCCTTGAATCCCAGCAACAAACAGTACTCAGCACATGGTAAGCAACCAAGTATTTAAGTGAATGAATGAATGAATGATTTAGGACTCCCAGGTCTAGTTCTTCCGCTGGACCACTCTGTCTCCTCCAAGATGGGAGCCTACAGAAACTGCCGCCTTCGACGTTCTCTTCTTCAGGTCTTTGATGCACACAGCCTCGGCGGGGTCAGGGGTTTGGAAAAGCACAGCCCCTGACAGAGAATTCTTGGTTATGGATTTAGCCTGGATGTTTAATCCCACACTGTCTACCCTTTCAGGGTATGCCCTCCCTTGACTAGGGTGACATGCTGAAGTGCTGGAGGTGGCAGGACCTAGCAGGAGCTTCCCAGCTGCTGAGACTGAGGGAGCCTGGCTCTGGGACCCAGGTTATCCTGGCCCCTGCATCACATCTCTAAGAAAACAAAAGGAGGCCCAGGACTGTCCTCTAAGCCATTCTCAGAAAATAAGAAGGGGAGGACCCAGACCCAACAGAATTAACACAGGAAGGACAGAATGTCCTGCTCTTCATCCAAGCTCTCAGTATTTGGAATACCAAAGCCCTTTGCAGCCCCTTTATGAAAATCACTTGGAGATGTTGATTTAAAAAAGCCAACTCGAAGACTGCACCCCAGACCTAGTGAATCAGAACCTCTGGGGTGATCCAAGGAATCTGTGTTCTTAACAAGCCCTCCAACAAATGCTAATGCTTGCTACTCTGAGAATTCTTAATTCTCAAGTCATGTCACTTCTTCACCTAGTTGTTCAGAGGCTGAGCATCAATGTAGGTCAGGCCAAGTCTGTGAGGTAGAGGATCCCCATGGAACTCAATAAGAATCCATCCAACCTGGCCGTTTTACATTTTCAAATGAGAGCACAACAATCACCACCAGTGGCCAGTGGCCTGGATAGCTGTCCCCACAGCCTCCCCCAATCTCATCCTTATCACAATCAGGGCATCTCTAACCCTGCCAGAGGGAGAAGGAAATGCAAGGGCTGGGACCTGGTTTTTGTCACTTAAAAACAAAGTTCAAAGTGCCAGATAAAACCTGGATGGCACAGGAATGCAGTGGCTTTTCTTTGTTTATTTTGAGGAAGAGCAGGGACATTTTAGCAGCCAAATCCCCAAACCAAGAGGGAATCACAAAGCCATTTCCCAGGTGCCTTGTTGCTCAAGAATCTCCCTCTTAGTTGTTGCTGGGTATAGCCACAGCCTCTTGCTAAGGGAAAATACTCACCCAAAGTGCCCACTGTCTGGAAGGGGCCGAAGGCGAGGTCACAATGGGCCCAAAATGCTCACCAGTGGCGCATGGACTCTTCATTCTTTAAAATATGGATACTTTTAGAAAGTAGATGACAACCAGAATCCCTCTCCCCAATACCACCAAAAAGCACATATTACTCAAGATTTTTCACATAAGTTTTGGGGTACACAGGTTCCCTGGAACCATTCATAAAACTCTGCCTATGAGTTCCAGATTGAGAACTACCATAAACATGATGGAGAATTAAAAATCTAAAATGTCTAGAATTTTTTCCATGTCTGAGGATAGTTAAGGTGGGGATTGGGTGGGATGGATAAGAAAACAAGTTTATATACATTCTTTTTATTCATGGCCTGTTTGTTAATAAAAATTTGGCAGAAATGTACATATATGCAATATTTAAATTTCTGGTACTTTTATTAATCTGAAGTAATTTTGTTATTCTAGGGACATTAATAATTGATTATATAGAATTTAATATGCTTATAGAATAATCATGCTTGGTAAATTTAAAGATATAATCTTGGAGACAAAATATTTACTAGTCAATTTTATTTTAAAACATATTTGTTGTAGGGTGTTGAAACTGATGGGCTTTTTAAAAATCTGGTTTTAGTTCTTGCAGTTTTATAAGAAGCACCTCCACATTGCAAACTCTTTCTTTAAATAAAGAACTATACTTTTATTTTTTCAAATCCTTTGTCCATCTTATATTCTTACGTTGGAAAGAGGGACAGGTTCTCAAGACTTGTTCTATTTTCCTCCATACTCCTGACACCTGTCCTATCTCCTGTTTGTTAGAGTCCTTAGGACAAGTGGATGCTCCTTTCTATCATGGTGCCTGGTCAACTATGTGCCAACTCAGTACTGAATCTCCCAAGAACAGGCCCACCAGCAAAGGGGGCCTTGGGTCTGTGTTCCTTTTCCTGTAATAATGGTAGTAGCTCCCTGAATGTTGCAAGCTCACATTTGTAATTGATTCCATTGATTCTGGGACACATCTTATATTATGTGCCACCCCGAGAAAGGGCAAACACTGTCCTTCAAACCATAGGACACAATGCCTTAACCATTGCCCTCCACAGTCATGCAAGCCTCTGGTTGCTTTGATGTTTCTTTCATCCATACAAGATGTGCCAGCAGTTTCTGGTTGTGATGACCAACCCTTTTGTGGATCTTACTAACAGTTTCTTCTACTTAAGGGATGGCTCTTCCTATCACAGGTTCCAGAAAGCACTTTGGTTGTTGCTTTGTGAAAACTATGTGATATTGTGTTCATTCCTCCAACCACACATACCTGCTTCACTAATATCAAAAGAAAGTCCCACTGCTCTATTTCCGTGCCTTGCTGCTCACATGGTAATTTTTCATTTCAATATCAAATCCATGCTGTAGTCTTTTTGAGGACCTTTTAAATGCAATTAAATTCAACACCTACATTACAAACAATGCACTTAATTCAACTGAAGTGATGACGGTATGAACTGCTGTGACTAAGTTTTGACATTAACAGCTACATCTCCACTGAGCCTGGCCAACACCATCAAGTGATCCCGAGAGATGTTGGGATGTGGAAAATGTGCATTCTAGAACCAGTTAAATATGGTTCCCACACAATAACCCTTTCCTCCTGTCTTAATGTTGTAGCAGACCAGTATTCATGACTAAAATGAAGAGGAAAATAATTCCAACTAAGACTAGGATAATGGTAAAATTATAGTCCTCTCACTTACTATAATGTTCTGATTCATTTCCATTATTCTGTCTTAAAATGAGGAACTCAAAGCTATCTTTTTTCCCTGTTCACCTAAAGTATGTCACGTTATTTTACTACAATCTTAATGACAATATCCCACTACATCTCTTTTATTATTTATTTATTTGTATTTATTTTTGAGGCATAGTCTTACTCTGTTGCCTGGGCTAGAGTGCTGTAGTGTCAGCTTAGCTCACAGCAATATCAAACTCCTGGGCTCAAGTGATCCTGGGACTACAGGCATGCGCCACCATGCCTGGCTAATTTTTTCTCTCTATATATATAAGTTGGCCAATTAATTTCTTTCTATTTATAGTAGAGACCGGGTCTCGCTCGTGCTCAGGCTGGTTTCGAACTCCTGACCTCAAGCAATCCGCCCGCCTGGGCCTCCCAGAGTGCTAGGATTACAGGCGTGAGCCACCATGCCCGGCCTTTTATATGTATATTTTTAGTTGTCCAGCTAATTTCTATTTTTTTAGTAGAAACAGTTCTCGGTCTCGCTCTTGCTCAGGCTGGTTTCGAACTCCTGACCTCAAGCAATCCGCCCGCCTGGGCCTCCCAGAGTGCTAGGATTACAGGCGTGAGCCACCATGCCCGGCCTTTTATATGTATATTTTTAGTTGTCCAGCTAATTTCTATTTTTTTAGTAGAAACAGTTCTCGGTCTCGCTCTTGCTCAGGCTGCTCTCAAACTCCTGACCTCAAGCAATCCTCCTGCCTTGCCCTCCCAAAGTGCTAGGATTATAGGCCACCACGCCTGGCCTTCCACTACATCTCTTTTTCCTCCTTCAATTGTCTCTTTTCCTCCTTTAATAACCTAGAAGTAAAAGCAAGTGACCAACTCTTATTTCATCTATCAATGCTAGCACCATGACTCTGAGTTTACGATACAATTCCTTCCTTTTGTGTTTATTATGATTCCCCACAACTTCATTGAATAGGAGAGAGGGTAAGAGACTATGAAGTTGCAGATGATGAAACTAAGAACAGAACGTGTTGGTGGGGAAACCAATACCAGCATTCAGCCTCCAAACTTGTGTTTAATCTTTTCTGATTTCAAGAGCCCTGTGGGAAAAGCCATCCCACAAGCAGAATAAACTGTTACTGAGGTTCCCCGAAAGAATCTCTCATCACAAGCCGACCTTCAGGGTGGAAAGGATTTATTGTGAATTCCTAAAAGTTGAAGGCTGCTTAGATGCGTTCAATCTAGTAAATTCTCATATAAAGATTGTACACAGCACATGCTGGGCAGGGTACTGCTGGGATTCAAGGATGATGGACCTGGTCCCATGCTCCAGTGACTCATGATCTAGAGCGGTTCTGAATCCGGGGCTGGGGAAAGAGGTGGGGAGGGGGCACTTCATCTTGTGAATCGGATGACATTTTCAGGCCCCAGAAAGTTGTTCTAGATTCCCAAACCCACACAGGATTCCGCAAATCATTTCTTGGGGTTTACACAGTTCCTGAACCATGGAAGAGTAGCGCATGTCTGCATTCCATAACATCTAACCACAAAGCTCACATAGATGAGCTTTTTCTCAAGGTTATTCCTGCCTAGCACAGAGAGACCAAGCCACTCAAATAGTGTTAGGAGGAAGCAATATCCTGCCCTTGGAGTTTAGGTTTTCTGGATTAACAGCTGCTAAAGAAATTTTTTAATCTTCTCCCTCAGACTTGGTAATTTGAGGCCTTCCTTCCTGGCAGGGGTTGATGGTGAGTATTCTCCAGAATGCACAGCCAGCCAGGGCACTATTGAGTAATCCAAGGCCATCCTCGCTGGGCTTGTCCACAGTATTCCCTGGTCCCCTTCGCACCCCACCCTGTGCTCAACTTGTCTCTTTACGGCCCCTGGGCAAGACCAGATGGAGCCTCATGTTACCATCTGACCCTTCAGAAAAGAGGGCTCCTCCCAAAGAAGTTAAGGGACCCTGCTCAGCCAGGAAACTCTCCGGCCCGGGCTATGGCTGCAAGGAGTTTCTGGCATTTGTGAGTGGGCTGGTGGGTGGGGATTTCCAGTCTTTTACTGCTCTGGAAAAGAAGCCCAATTTTTCATTTTAAGTCGGGTTGTTGAAGTGTCACTGAATCGCTGGGGGCTGACATCTGGGATCAGAGTCTTGTCTTGGTGGAGCCAGAGTCTCTGTATCATTTAAGGACACAGACATCCTGGCTTCTTTCCCACATTAACTTGTGAATATGAATATGGAGCTTTTTATTATATTCCCGCTTCCTCTTCTAGAAAAGCAGACAGAGTTGCAGTCATTTTCTTGTGTTTGTTATCATTCTTTTCTAGATAGTAGCATTTCAAGGGACACTGCAGGGGAAGCTCAGATGTGGCCTCATTTGCAATACTACTACTAATGATAATATATAGTGTTTTTTAGTTAAAACACCTTTCACCTTTATTATTATTTTAACTTAATCTTCATCTGATCTAAAGAATTCTCATGGTGCATATGGTGTTATCAGTCGGGGTCCCACTGGGGATCAGATGGAACATCCAAAGAGTTCAATTGAAAATTATTTAAAGAAGGGACTATTTACAGAGACAGATCAGTCAGAATCCAATCAAAAAAAAACAGAAACTATACCAATTATTTTAATAAAGCAAACTAAATACAAAGAATGGGTTTAAAAGGGTTGGAGATCTTTATATGTTATCTAAATAGTCAAATTCATGGAGACAAAGTAGAATGGTAGTTACCAGGCACTGGGGGATGGAAAATGAGGAGTTATTTAATGGGTATAAACTTTCAGTTTTACAAGATAAAAGAGTTACAGAGATTAGTGGCACAACAATGTGAATATACTTAACACTACTGAACTGTGCACTTAAAAATCGTTAAGATGATAAATTTTATGTTATGTGTTTTCCACCACAATAAAAAGAAAAAAAGAAAAGGGCTGGAGATCTGAATATGTAAAAGGAATACTTAAAAGTAACCCAGAGAAATAACTGTGAAAAAAACAGAATAGCACTACAGGCCAGAGAACAAAAGAGAGGAGCTCTGGGAGAAGGCTACAGATCTGGGACTCAGAGCTCCGAAAAATAGGTGCTTTCATGGTGCTCAAGAGCAAGCTTAATGAGAGAACCACTCTGTTCTGGGAGTGCCAGAAAAACACACACAAAAAAATGGGAGGCTGCACCCCACCGCTGCAGCAGGGGGGAGGACTGCTGCTGAGGGACTCAAACAGGAACAGGTCCCCTTCTCCTCCAGCCTGCAGCACCCTGTACTGGCATACCTGACAGCGAGCTGCTGACCAAGGTGATGTCATTTGCAAAGTCCCAGCCCCAGCACCAAAAAACAGGCCATTGAAGAGTGGTTAGGAGCTGAACATATTGGCTTACTAATGGGCACAAAAAGTGTGAGCAGGGTAAAGAGATGGGTAAAATAACCAGCAACTGGGAATGGCAGGAAGCACTGACTACCCCTAAGCCTAAGGGGCAAGAGGAAGAGATGACAGACAGGAACCCTGTCACGGTCAGCAGGGCCAGGGCTGTGGGAAGGGGCTGCCCGGCAGAAGCTGTGGCCACTTTCCTAAACCCTGGCCAACCAAGGAGGAAACAAAGCAGGGCTGGGGGAAGAAGCCCCTTGACCTCTCTCTCCTCCCTCTGGCTGGTCTCCTGAAACTGCCACAGCTTGCCCAAAGCAAACAGGAAGCCAGAGGACAATATGTTTAACATTTACTTAATAAAGATGGAACCTACTATTAATATATACATTTATCTACATCTCCCCTGCTAAAGATAACAATGACAACAACAACAAAATTGAAATCCCTCTAAGTTAATATACATCATCTCATTCTTTCTCAAAGGCCTAGCAATAACTTGGCATGAACAAAATCTGATTTTATGTTAAGCATTAAAATTTGGTGTTTTTTGTTGAATTTACTGAATGCCTAATATGCCATTAAAATACTTGTAACTGATTTCTACAAATACTAAAAGGTAAAGAGTGAATTAAATGTATATAACCTGCCTCTCTTGCCAATTGTTGAGAAATTGCTTTGGCTTCAGGTTCTCCTCTAAAAATGGGAATGATAATAACACACATCTCACAGGATTATAGTGAGGATGAAATGAGAAAAATATAGGTGAAAGCACTGTGGAAAGGATGGGTTTTATTTTCTGTTACCTTCAGCTCTCCCTGTGTCTGAGTGTTCTTTAAAGTACCACCATCATCACCATCGACACCATCATACCACAACCACCATCACCATCAATACCACCATCACCATCATAACCACCACTGCCATTAACACAATCACTATCACCACCACCAGGATTATCACTGTCATCATCGCTAGCATAATCACCGTCTTCATCATCACCATCATCATCATGATCACCATCATCACTATCACCATCGCCATCATTGTCACCCATCTGTCATCACTAACATCATCTTTTCTCCATCTCCTAAATTTTCTTGCCCTTGAGACCTTCAGATTTTTATGGAGCAAAAAATCCTCTTGGAGGGAAATGGGAGAAGATATTTGGAGTCAGGGTTGCCGGGTTGGAAGGCTGGCTTTACCACTGACTAACTGTAACCTCCTGAGTTTCCCAATTTTCTCACCTGTTAAACAGGAATACCTACCTACCTCTGTCAATTATTCTCCCTTTGCCCCTCCAAATCCATATTCTGCCCTTTACTGTCCTATTCTATGTCCTATGAGGATGACCTTGATAGACCGAATCACCTGGGCTCCCTTGTATGTGTATATGTTTGTATGAATATTGATAGAGGGATGGAAATACACATACCAAGCTTAACACACTGACTGCCATGCTAGAAAAAATTTTTTTTTCCTTAGGGCCACAGTGCTTTATTACAAAAATAGAATAAAAATTTTAAAAACAAAATGATCCCTTCTAACTTAATGAAAAATTTGTTATTTTTTATTGTTTTACGTGAGCCAGTTATATGCAACTTGAAATACTCCCAAGGTGCGTGGCTCCCAAGGTAAAGTGACATGTGAGTTACATATGCTTCATGAGGCCCTGGGCCCAAAACCAGCATAAGTTAAATATAACTCACATGGTAGTTAATGTGTTAAGTCATCTGATTTAAGAGAGCAGAGGTGGTGACAGTAGTATAAAGATTAGGTAAGGAAAAAAAAAAAAGAATAGAGCAAAATGAGAACAATTTATATCTAAAAATATTATGTTGAGTAAAACAAATGAGACACAAAGTTATATCTATGTATGATATCATTTATGTGAAATTCTAGAAAATATAAACTAATCTGTAGTGACAGAAAGCAGATCAGTGGCTGCCTGGCACCAAAAGTGGAAGAAAAGATTGACTATAGTAGAGTATTAGGGAACTTTTGGGGGTGACAAAAATATCTTGATTATGGCAGTAGTTACAACATGGACACATTTGTAAAGACTCAACTACTTGTACAACTGTACCTAAGTGAGTGTAGTTCATTATATGTAAATTACACCTCAGTAAAGTTGATTTTTTTCTTTTTTCTTCTAAAATATTAAGGGAGTAGAAACGTTTTTGTTACATTAATAGCTTTTACAATACTTAAGTCAGGGCTATTAGTGTGCCTATCACCCAAATAGTGTTCATTGTACCTGTTAGGTAGGTTTTTACCCCGCCCTCCTCCCCTCTCCCCCTAAACTTGATTTTTAAAGTATTCATGGCATAATATAAATGGAAGATATATATCACAGAATTCTAACAGTGATATTACTGTGAACTTGTAAAACCTGAATGTGCACACAGGACTAGACGGTGGCATGGACCAATGAACACATTAGCTTGGTTCACAGATGCCTGCTATTTTATAAGCAACAAACAAAGAAGAAACAAGCTGAAGAAGGGTTCTGAAGACAGGGCCTATCAAGCAATGCCAAGCTTGTTGATGAAGTTGCCCTTTATAGAAATAGGTACGGGAGGATTAAGAGGAACAAGAGAAAACAAAGAAAACTGTCTACAGGACCATGGTGGGGGTCTTGTTTTACAATAAAAGGAGTTTTATGCAATGGACCCAAGTTATAATGAGGCTTAAAGGGAGAAAGAGTGGTCTCAATGCCATTGTGGTCAAATAAGTTTGCTAACCTTCCAAAATTTCGATTTCTCACTTTATAAACTAAAATTAATACTAGCCTTCTAATGCCATTTTTTCAAGACCCCAGTTGCTACTGAGAAATACTTCCCAAAGACAGGAGAAGAAACATCTATCGATCCCAACATAAAAGTGTTTGGCTCATCAGTCTGTGCTAATGGCTCAGGAAATTTAAAACAACATAATTAGCTCCCTGGATTTACGGATCTAAGCAGGGCCCATTCTCTTTATGCCCAGTGGCTCTCACCCTGGCTGTGCCCCAGAAGCATCTTCAGAACTTTTTAAAAGTACAGATTCCTGAACTCAACCCTTGGAGTTTACGAGTCAGGGCCTGGAGATCTATGTAAGTTCTACAGGTGACTCAGACAATCAGCTAATGTTGAGAACCACTCTGTTAGGCACTCACCTTGATATTTTTATGCAGTCCAAGCATTCCAACGCAGTCTTCTCAAAGCACACTTTCCAGTTCTAACATCAAAGTTTTGTGATATTCTTCCTGCACTATCCCCAATTCTATGGCTTCAAGATTTTAAAGAATTGCAAAGCAGTTTCCATTCCCAGCTGAGCTTGGACACACCTGAAATAGGTAAAGGAGACAGCGAGCTTGAATGGTATGGAACATCCTTCCATGTTCCCACTAAAAGGGCTTAATCTGAAACAGTTATTTGGTATCTCCTTTTCTACTTCCTAAGCATCAGTGGTTGAGTTAGTTAACAAACAGTACCTGAGAAGCAGTATTAACACCTTGATGCAATAAAGGTACAAAGAACTGAGAGAACTTCCTGATCTATTTTTGACAGCCCCAGATATGACTGCCTTGAGCTCCAGGCTTCTCAAGAACATGAAAATTCAGCTCTTCATTCATTCCTTCAAAAAAAAAAAAAGTATTATCTTCCTCCCATGTGCAGCACCTCTCTCTTCTCCAGGTGCTGGGGACACAGCAGCGAGTGAAACAGACAAGGCTTACTACGCTCTTGGCTTACAGTCCAGTTAGAAAAGACAAGTGAACAACAAATCCACCACAAAGAGAGTGTCAGATTATCATAATTTTAATGCAACAAATTAAAAATGTGTTGTTAAAAAGAGTGAAGGGCAGAGTCGCAAAACGACAAACACTGCATGATTCCACTACTTGTCAAACACACAGAGGCAAAGAGTAGAGTGGAGATTGCCAAGGGGGGAAAGGCAGAGCGAAGTGGGGAGTTGCTGTTCAACAAGTATGAAGTTTCGGTTATGCAAGATGAATAAGCTCTGGAGGTCTGCAGTACAGAATTGTGCCTATCGTAAACAATAATGTATGTAAAACGATACTATATGTAAACAATTTAAGAGGGTAGCTCTCATGTTAACAATTCTTACCACAATGAAACTAATTTTTGAATAAAATAAATAAACAGTGAAGTGCAGGATGGAGGACATGAGAATAGGCACTGAGATGATGGGTAGTCGGGGAAGGCCTGCCTGAGGAGGTGACATCTGACCGGAGTCTCTAGAAGAACGAACCAGTATGCAGAGAGCCCAAGAGGAGACTGCAGCTGGAGCTGTATGACAATCAAGGTCTGGCAGACCCTCCAAAGGGATTATGTACAAAAGTGCAGAGAAGGTTTAATGTAACTAGCGCTACCCAGGGCTAACAAAGGTGGGGGAGCCATGAGCATACCCAGTCTGTGGGGGCAAAGGGAGGAGTGGTCACCAAAGATGCAGAGGGTCCCTAATAGGAGCTGCAGCCTTGGGTAAAGAGATGCAGCCAATCCCAAGGTGACTAGCCAGGAAAGAGCAGGGGAGTAAATACACTGTATAAATATCTCCTCCCTCTCTCTCTAATCTCCGGCTGGTGCTTCCCATTGGCAATTCCAACAGAAAGCAAGAGTGTCCTTCAATGCAATTCATAGCGTCAGCCTACTGGCATATAGAGCAAGGTGAGAAAGGGTAGAAACTGGGTCTGGAAGAGCAAGTGGAAGATACTGGCATGAACAGCATGTACAAAGGTTTCAGATGGAAAACAGCATACCTTGTACAAGGAACAGAAGGGTCATTGTGCTTAGACAAGCTACCAGATGCAGGCAGAGAGGAAGACAGGACCCAAATCATGTGAGGCCTTGGGTGCCACAGTGCGGTCCTGGTATTTCATTCTGTGTCCAATAGGAAGCCTTACAAAGTTTGGGATGGAAGATATGATCAGATTTTCACACTGTTAAAGACCATTCTGCCTGCTGTGTGAGTGTGCAGTGCAGTAGCAGTAAGGGTGGAGGGAGGAAACAAGCAGTATAGCAGGAGTGCAATTAATTTACCCTAGAACTCCAATGTGCAGAGAAACTAGACTTCTACTTCCTCTAAAGCTAATTTTTCTTGCTTGCTAGCTTCTTCATACTACAGAGAAATAAAGGGGGCAAGGGATAACCTTTAGATCAATACAATAATGTAAATCTTTCTTTTAAGTAAAACACTCAGCCTCTTTGGTTAAACATGCTTAGTCTCTGGGTTTCAGCACCACCCCTGTTCCCAGAACACTGTTGGGGGAAGACATGTGTACATGACTTTGTGGATTTGAGTTCTCAAAACAATTGCAGGGTCTTCTGGTTCCTCCGGCTCCCCAGCAATGTCCCTTGTCCCCCTGGTCATTAGCTCTCAATAACTGAGGCTGCAGTCGGTGTGCATCTTGGTCTATCCCTCTTCTTAGCTCAGTGGGACTCTGGTGACTCGTCTGACGCTTCATTCATCTCAGCTCTCCTGGCATCTCAAGCCCCTGAGTTGCCCATCTCAACAGGCCCACATTTGTCGTGCTGGCTCTCAACTCTACATTCATGCCTTAGGAGAACAGAAAAAGGCTTCGGGAAACAAATTAGACATCACTCTCTCTGACCACATCTCTGGATTTATTTCACATGGTCACCCTCCAGGTAGGCCGACAGGTCCCTTATAGAGCTACCAAGTAACCTGTTCCCAGTGTGCCAGAGTGGAAGTCAAGAAGAAGCCTCTCTGCCCTCTGAGTTCTTCTAGGTATTTAACAGACTTCCCTTTCTCCAGGCTGCAGCCCAGAAGGAAGATCAGAATACCTAACTGATCATCTACCTGCTCTGCCTGTCTCCCTTCTGTCTTCCTCCTGCAAAAATCTTTCAGTCAGGAGAGCAGCCTTTGTTATCAGAGCCCTCATCTTCTAAACTCCAGCCTTATCACTGAGCATAATGGAGAACAAATATTCTATATATTATGGGAGACATTTATAATCTAATCTTCCAGGCCTAGTTCTTGCTATATAAATGGAAACTAAAAACATTTATAAAATCCTTTCTCTTACTACCAAGACTAGCTTTCATGCCTACTGTCTCTCTGCAGAACTCTATTTTTGAATGCCAGAAGCCAAATCTTAACTCTTCCTTTTGATTTGCATTCTTTTATCCTGTCTTAGAGGCAGATATATTCAGAAATAAGAGAAAAAAGCACATTAAATTGTTCCAAACCATGGCCATCATGGCCTGTTAGGAAAGTATCCTAACGTTCTGGGTGAGAGATAACCATAGCTTGCTATCTGGTGAAAGAGGAGAGCAGGAGAGAGAAGGAAAAGGAGGCGAGTTTAGGAAATATTTTGGAGGCAGAAATAGTAGAATTGGCTGATGGATTACATGGTAGAAGTGAAAAAAGCGGGGAAACCAAAAATGACTCCTCAGTGAGTAATAGACAGATGGTGGGGTCCATTTTACTAGAATGGGGACTCCTGGGGAAGAAACAGGTTGGGGGCGGTGGGAGGAAATCAAGGATTCTGTTTTGAACTTTGTAAATTTGAAACTCCATTGAAGTGGTAATGTTAAACAGGCCACTCAGAAGAGAGGTTAAAGATGAGGATAAAAATTTGGGAGTGAGCAGCAGAGAGATGATACCTAAAGTCCAACCCACAGTACATATGAAGAAAGGCTCAGTTTCAGCACAGAATGTACCAGGTTGAAAGCCTCTACTGGCCAACCTATCATAGGACAAAGGAGGAAAACTCGAAACCCAATCCCAAACCTACCTCAAGGCAAGCTCTTAGATTTAGCATAACATTTAAGATCCAGAATCAGGCACCACAAACCCATCTTGAATTTAGCAATAGCTACAGAGGAGAGAGAAAATGTGCATGTTGAAACTAGGTCATCAATTATTGTATAGGCTTTTATTCCAGAGAAAGTTACAAGCACCTATTTGGGACGGGTCATCATGGAGAAAACTCCTGGTGAAGCAGGAAAACAACAAGAAACAAAGCATTCTCTGACAGCTTTGACTTTTTCTATCAACACAAGATCTTGGCTGCAGTGGCTCACACCTGTAATCCTAGCACTCTAGGGGGCCAAGGTGGGTGGATCCCCTCAGGAGTTGGAGACCAGCCTGAGTAAATGCAAGACCCCACCTCTACTAAAAATAGAAAAATTAGCATGGCATGTGTGAGTGCCTGTAGTCCCAGCTACTGGAGAGGCTGAGGCATGAGGATTGCTTGAGCCCAGGAGTTTCAGGTTGCAGTGAGCTATGATGACACCACTGCACTCTACCCAGGGCAATGGAGCAAGACTCTAACTCAAAAAAAAAAAAAAAAAAAACCCGCAGGGTCTTGTGATACATCAGCTTTTCAGCCTTGAAGCCACCTGGCGGGAGGGCCCTCTAACTATTCAAACTGACCCTCTCACATTCTTATATCTTGTTGGGTAGGAATAGGGAGAAAAGAACACATAGGCCTCTCTACCTTTATTGGGAGAAAAGGCAGGGTGGTGAGGAAGATTGGAGAATGAAAGGACTAATACTATTTCCAAGGAAATAGCCCCACCTGCTGAAACAAATTTATATCTGGGTTGGGAAGGGGAGGGAGAAAAGCTTTGAGTTCTTTTTCAGAAATTATTACTGCTTAACAACTATAACTCTTGCTCCCTCTAGAGGTCAAAGGTATGAATAACATGCCTTTAAAAGAAAAAAATTATAATAGATACTACAGCTTCATTTTTCACCACACCTTGCTTCATCACTTTAAAATGTCAGTATTAAAATAGACAGACAAAATAAAGGCAAGAAGTTAAAATTCCTCTGGCACTTTTCCATATACTCTGAAATTTCTAGTCCAAGAATTGGGGGTGCTTTGTAAGCAAAGCCAGATCTATAGCACTAATCAAATACTTAAGACCAGCCTTATAAGATGGAAAAAGGATACAATACTGCATTAGCCTTCATTAATCTATTTCTCTAAACATCTAGTTGTTCTTTAGGAGGATGGTGTTTTTCCTAACATCAGTGTAAATTCATTTTGGAAGAACAATGTCTGGACTTTGTCTCAGGTTTTCTGAATTTTAATGAGGACGTTACTGTTGCCAGGCAACTTTGCACTCTGGATGTAGGTATACACGAAAATTAAATTACCTCATAATTCTAATGAATGTACTCTGGCAGTAATCACGGTATTACAATTTGTCTACCTAGATCCAGCAGCTGAATTAAGGAAACAAGTCCAGAAGCCAAAGACAATAAACTTTAATAAAGCCAGTGCTCATGAGGCCATTTTTCAAGGTTTCAATACAGTGGTTCCAAAGTAGCACTGAGACTAATTTTAAAAAGCTTCATTTCAGCCTAATTATTTTACAATAGAATAGACACTGATAACATTTAGACAGAAGGAATAATGTCTCATAGCCATGGGTTCAATTTGGGTAACAGTGTTTTATAAATACATAGCCAGAAGGTAAATTTCTCTAGCTTTCAAGACTACTGCTGCAATAATTAACTATTCTTTCAGAAGAACAAACACCAACCCAGAACATTATTTGTGGCCACAGGCAATAAATGGATATCATAAGACAAAGCATACCAAGACAAAGTACAAAATGAACAAAAAGGAAACTTTAAAGGTGACTCCATGCAATTTAGTATATGACAAAAGTGGCATCTCAAATCACTGGGGCAAAGATGCACTTTTTAATAAAGGGGACCAGGACAACTGTGTAGCCATTTGGAAGAAAAGATAAAATTAGATCTATATTCCATGCAATATAAGAAAATAAACTTTTTTTTACATATCAGAGATCTAAGTGCCAAAAAAAACCCTTTATATACAAGTACTAGAATATGAGTAAATTTGTCTCCAATCTTAGTATACAGACTAAGACTTATAAATACAGAGGCAATAAAAGATTGATAATTTGACCAAACAAAAATAAAAGATAATACATGGCAAAAGAAAAAAAAAAAACATACCATAAACAAAGTCAAAAGACAACTGACAAACTAGGAGAAATTCTTGAAGCAGATATATCCCTAATATGTAAACAGCTTTTGAATATGAAAGAAGAACCAAAAACCCAGCATGAACAGATAACTCAACCAAAAATACATAAAATAGCCTGTAAATATATGAAAAAAGTTATAGTAAGAAAAAGGCAAATTAAAACACTTGATATAGCATCTCTTATCTATCAGATTGGCAAAAACTGAAAAGTATGACAATAAATTCTGTTTGTAAGAAAGTGGGGAAATACGATATTCTTTTACATTACTAGTAGCAATGAAGATTGGTACAACTCTTCTGAAAGGAA